ATAAGAAGCACGGGCGTCTTAAGTTGCCCCACGGTTGTTGCGAAATAATTCGATAGCTCCGCAACAGTTGTAGAAGAATACCATATTGCAAAAGGGCATGATGATCTGGGCACGAGAGTTGGGGGCCTTTTCTTTTCTCAGCCCAAGGGTTGTATAATTCTCCAAGGTGTACTCGAGCGGGGAAACACGAAAGGTAGAGACGGATTGGGTAGCTGTCGGGACCTTTTCTGGTGAGGGACTGCCTCCGGTGTTTCAGGAACGCTCCCCTTGGTCAATCATGGGTAAAACCAACAAAGCCAGAGGGCACAAGAAGGCTCAAGAGGAACACCGTTGCGGTCAGATTGCGCCACACGGCTCTGCAGAGAGGCTGCGTTGCGTCGACGCTCGTTTGCGTAGTAAAGGTGTGTGAAAACAGGCGCGCGTAAAAGCCGCAATGCGTAAACGCTCGCATGTGTACCAGCTATGGTCACACAGCTGCACGGACTGTGTCAGGGCACAGGCCTGCACGCGTTGCGTCGAAGCGGCAGTGACCAACCCCTTAGTGCTAGAGGGGGCGGCCGGTACTGCCAGGGATGCACGTCACGCTATGGCGGGTGGCTGATGGGAAGGGTGCGTAAATAGCTGTGTAGTGGTGCTCCACGATGCGGTAAGATGTCGCCACGCTAGGGTATAAGGCTGAGTCGAATGGTGCTCCGCGAAGCGAGAGGTTTGTCCACAGGGCTTTGCAGAGAGGCTGTCTTGCATCGATGCTCGTTGGTGTCGAGCCATATTCAATCTGGTCTGTGAACGCAGTACGCGCTGTGTCAGACTGCCGGGCGCGCACGCGCGGCATCGAAGCCGCATTGCGCAACCTCATTGTGCAGGGTTCGTGCTGTATTGCGCAACCTCATGGCCGTACTGCTGTGACTGCTACGCGCATGACTTCACCTTATTCACCTTATGGTGTGACGGTGTGTCCAGAATGCTAGTAGTGCTGGCGAGGGGAGGGGAGTGGAGGGGAGGGGAGGGGACGGGGGGGGGG